GGGGCGGCCGCAGGTGAGGCGGCGGCTCCTCGGGAGAACCGCCCGCGGCAGCTTCTTCCGTGGCGGCCTCGGGAGTCGCCCCGGAGCGGAGAGGCGGGACGGGCTCCCGGATAGCCGCGTCCGGCCGGCGGAGCCCGGTGCCTCCCGGCGTGTGAACACCTCCAGCCATCCGCACACCCTTCCCCGCTCGGCCCCACGCTGCCTGCAGCGGGCTCTGTCCGGCCGGGAATCCTCGCCCGGTGCGGGAGGGAACAGCAGCCCCCAAGCCCCCCTGCCCGAGCTCGGCAGGTACCGACAGCACTGCGGGCAGTGGCCCCTCCGTACCTCCAGTGGCCCAAGCCTTTCTCGGGAATACGGGAATGTTATTTCTGCATCTTTCGGTAGCCCCGCGCCTGTGCTAAATGCAGATTTAGTTCGGCTCTCGGTACCCGCGGCGGACCCAGCACACCGTACAAGTAACTTTAACCCAGCTCGCGTTCGGCTCCTTTGTGTCAACCAGCGAGTGAATGCCCGTTCTCTTTCTTCTCGGTTAAAAGAAATTATGAACAAGAGTCTTCGCAATTCCCAATGCCGTTAAGCCATCTTGGTGCTTTTGCACCTCCAATTTCATTTTTCCTTAATGAATGCCAGTGTTTTCTAGGGTCTAGTAGTAAAAATATACACGAGAAACAAATGTGTAAGCATCTTCTTCATAACACTTTCTAAAAGTGCCTAGACTTTTAGATACAAAAAGTGAAGAATTTTAAAAATATATATGTATTTCTGATGTAGGTCCCACATATTTATGGGGATTTTACCATGAATCTCAGCTATTTGACACCACCTCTTCTTTGACCAGTGAGGCAGTCACTCGCTGTCAATTAATGGTGTCAGTAGCACAGTAAGAGATGAACTAATCAATGAAAAAAAAGCTCAATTGTTAGAAAACACTAACTTGGGAACAAGGACAGGCTCTGAAACTGAAGCTAATGAAGAATAGTTTAGTAAGAAAACATGTTTTTACTGGCATAGGGATGATGTCAATGAAAATGTTGCAGTAGAGGTGAATCACAAAATGCAGATGAGTAATCAGAAGAAAAGCGACATCGTGATCTTAAAAATTGTGTACCTTTGTCAACAACGTAAAGACAGTCTGAAAAAGGGACACAATTGAATCTGAGAAATAAAATTACCTTAATTGCTTTCAGCAAATGCTGAGGACTCTAATGACTGGCAGTGGACCTCAGTTCTTAAGGCATAATGAATTTTCTAAGATCTGGGCTTCCTGTCACCAGAACATCCTCCAAATAAAAGGTTTGGAAAGAAAGCCATTCTGGCAGTGAAAAGTCTCTTGAAGGTAGCCAAGCAGAAATGTTAAAATCTGTATCTAATGTATCTCTGTATCTATCTAAGATGTATGTCTAATGGGCTTCAGCAGGTACATCAGTGGAAGGAATGGCAGAGACAGTCAGAACAAGGAGGATTTTATTCAAAGATACCAGTTGTTCTATAACAGAAAAAATCAGGATCATAATGTGACTGTCCTGATGCAACTGTCTGGTCTTATTAGTCAAACCTAAAAGAATTTTGACTGTGACAGGTATATAAAAAGTACTGAAAGTATGCCTGGGCTCCAGGTCTGCCTGAGAGGGAATGAAAATAGCCAGAAGCTGTTACTCCTGCAAAATAGCTATTATTGCTATTTGTGTTATATTACTTGGTGTTCTTAGCCAAATCAGATATGGTCATAGCTGGATTTCTCAAGACCTACTCAGTGGTACAATAGAATTTGTAAAAATGCCAGAAGAATCATTTTGCATGCTGGCATCGCAGATGTCATCAAGTGCAAAGTCATTTTGGACGCTAGCTTAGTCAAAAATCCCATTGAATTAATCTGTAACAAAATACTAAATCTGCAGTAACTCATATTAGCAGCTACATGAGAAGGATGAGAGCCAAAATTATATAGGGCAGAAATCAAATTATAAACGTTGAATGCCTCTTTCTTTCCAGGTCAATTTAGTGAGGTTATTGTCAAAAAATTAAAGTAGTCTAGCAGAAGAAGGAGTTAGTATCATGTACATGTTTATGGTACTCAATTATGCATTGAGAAATCTGCCTGCTTTCGTAGCAGACTGCGTGCTCCCAAGCTGTAATAGCTCGGTGTGTCCTGTGTCCAAGTCACTCGGTGTGACTCTGCTGTCACCTTTCTTGCCGATAGGATCCTTCAGCAGCACAGCATGGGTGTCAATGCCCTCTGCTCTCCCTTCTTCTGGCAATGACAAAACCAATGTGCAGAAAGCCTTCTTAGCTGGTGGTGTCACACTAATAACCTGAGGCCCGTGACAACCCACGAGGCAGAGCTTCGTAATGGTTCTTCTAATCAGTGTCCAAGGATTGTGTTCATGCCCTTCTTCCTCTGGATCCAAGCAGCTCAGAATATCCCAAAGCCACTTTGCATTCTTCCCTCTTGCATTTTCTGCTGCTTGGCTGCAACTGAGGACTGGAATTCAGATGCTTCCAAAAGCAAAGCCAGCTCAGGTTGAGCAGTGTGGTGTGCCTCCTCTCCAAACAACCTGACTAATGAAGGCTTTCTGAATGCTACAGAAAAGGCTCACCCAGGCATAAACCAGAAGAGAATGTGTTCCTGTTTCATATCAGCCAAATGCAAGAGGCTTGGCAGGCTATTCCCAAGTAAACCCAGCAGATCCCATCGCATCTCATCAGTATGGATCACCCTTGATACAGGGTCATGAGGACGATGCATGATGTTCTAATGCTCTGGAGACATTCAGGGAATCCAAAAGCTTCAAAAAGCAGAGTAATCCTTTCTCTCACAGTGAGATTTCCCCCGTCTTCTCTGAAACAGTCTCCCACTTTCCAGTGTTTGTTTCTTTAGAAAGAAAGCTGCATAATGCATATGCAGCTCATATGCACGATTACTTTGGCCTTTTTCAATGACTGTAAATAACATAATGCAGGATACAGTCGAAGAAGTTTCTGGAGCAGGGAAAGTGTTTTTTTTCTAGTGGTTTTGGCTTTTTGAGGGTTGTTCTTTTCACTTAATACATTCAGAGTTTGGTTTTTGAGTACCTAAGAAAAGATATTTTATTTCACTTGTTTGGATTATTTTCTATAGAACTGGTATAGAAAGAAAACATGATTTGCTATATAATACAAGTGAGAGAGTTGCAACAACAAAGCATGAGTTTTCTCTCCAGAGATAGTGAAGGGCTTTCCAAAAATGGTGGACTAAAAGCAAATAGCTCTGACAATGTGCTTCTGGTAGCATTGAGGATTATCAAAACAGAAGTGAATTAAGTAATTGAACATATTATTCTCATCAGTGATTATGTTAATCTAATTTATAAATACATCTTTTGCTCTGGACCAGACAGAGCTGACGCCTGAACCAATTCTGTGATGTCATGGTTAGTTGAACAAAATGAAGATCCAACTATTATATAGGTAGTTAAAGTATACTGGCTAGTATAATTCTTCCTGTCCTCTTCTTGCTTTCCCTCAACCCCAAGTCGTTTTCAATTTCAGGTTGCCATGAGTCAGCTGACTACTGAAGTGTTGCACAGCAGACCATTAAAGGACAAGTTTTCAACTAAAAACTCCTTAGTTTTATTTTATTTATGAAATTACACAGTTTTTCCTAACTCCCCTCTGGGGGAGGGGGAGTAAACAATCTCTAAAATTCTCTAGGAATGCTAAAATAAACAATTATTGGCATGACTCAGCAGATAACAACAATAGCCAAGAAGCTATTTTCTTAAAGGAATAATATTTTTATTCTGTTGTTAAAAAGGCAAAACAACATCACCAGCAAAAGAAGCAAATCTTTTGCTATCAAATGCAGTCCTTTGACTCCTAAAGGTGAAACTTGGTCTTCCTACCAGCATACCCTGTTCCTTGTTATACAAGTAAACAACTCCTAGATCTTCCATTAGGCACCTCCAAAGAGGAATGAAAACAGCAGCTGAAGCTTTCTGCTGTGCTTCTTTGAACCAAGGTTCCCAAAAGTGCCCCCCACACTGCCAAATAGCATCAGCACATCAAACCACCAGCCTCTGCAGATGTGAGTTAGGAGTATGGTATCCGTCTTTCAGGCTGCTCCCAGTAGACTCAAATATTTAAATGAAAATTCCTTGTATAAAAAGGGATTGTTTTTTTCCCCTCTAGGCTTACCATGAAAAGAATTTGTATTGTGCTGCAGGCTATTCAGTTAGGGTTGAAGTCTCTTTTTGTGTAAGTACTGTCTATCAAGTGTAAATCGATGTGTTGTGTACTTAGTGTAAAAATGCTTTTCTGACACTCAGATAAATTATGATTGTTGTTTTGACCCTTGTTTTTCATTCACCTCCACTCAGCTGCTGACTTTTGTGGTTTCTGAGATGAAATGTTGATTTAGGAGCAGTGCAATTGACCAATCTCATCTCTTCCTTTCCATCTAATTTTATACTCTTATCCCCTAATAGTCTTATTTGCCACCACTCTGCATTCTTCTTATGCATTACCAATAGAATGTATTCATTATGTCCTTCTCTCTCCCTTCTTAATGTCTTAGAACAAA